CTTTACTTCATGTGAATGGATCTCTATGAAATTTTACCATAAGGTTCAATACCACAAAAAGAAGCTTGTGATTGATTTTGGGGGTTATGGTACCAACAGTTAAGGAATAAGGGGCCAAAAAGGGGCAAAAAATAAGCATTTTTGTAACTTCCAGACATAACTTGTGTGTTAGTGTATGGATCTCTCTGACATTGTACCACAAGGTTCCATATCACAAAGGGAATGCTTGGATTGATTTTGGGGGTAATTGCCTCAAAATTTTAGGAATTAGGGGCAAAAAAGGGGCAAAAAACAAGCATTTTTCTAGTTTCATGACAGTAACTTGTGTGTAAGTGTATGGATCTTTCTGAAATTGTACTACAAGGTTCCATGTCACAAAGGGAAAGCTGGAATTGAGTACCGGGGTAATTGCCCAAAACGTTTAGGAATAAGGGGCCAAAAATAAGCATTTTTCTAGTTTCCAGACAATAACTTTGTGTTCAAGTGTATGGATCTCTCTGAAATTGTACTGCAAGGTACCATACCACAGAGGGAAGGCTGGGATTGATTTTGGGGGTAACTGCCTCAAAATTGTAGGAATTAGGGGCAAAAAAGGGGCAAAAACAAGCATTTTTCTAGTTTCAGGACAATAACTTGTGTGTAAGTGTATGGATCTTTATGAAATTGTACAACAAGGTTCCATATCACAAAGGGAAAGCTGGGTTTGAGTTTGGGGGTAATTGCCCTAATTGTTTAGGAATTTTGGCCAAAAAGGGGCCAAAAAACAAGCATTTTTCTAGTTTCCAGACAATAACTTGTGTTCAAGTGTATGGATCTCTCTGAAATTGTACTGCAAGGTACCATACCACAAAGGGAAGGCTGGGATTGAGTTTGGGGGTGATGAATCATAAGGGGTTTCAACAAAAAAAATTTGGGGGGGGGGATTTTTTTTTCCTTTTTTTTTCTTTAAAATTTTCCATTTTAAATTGGTTATTTCTGATTTGTATATAAAAGCAAATAATAATGATATGGTTTAAATAGGTAAATTAATTTTTTTTCAAGACCACATTCATTCTGTGAAGATTTCGTATATTTTTGTCGAGCCTTCGACTTTAGTCGAAAAAGCGAGACATAGCGATCCTACATTCCGTCGGCGTCGGCGTCGTCGTCGGTGGCGGCGTCCACAAATATTCACTCTGTGGTTAAAGTTTTTGAAATTTTAATAACTTTCTTAAACTATCCTGGATTTCTACCAAACTTGGACAGAAGCTTGTTTATGATCATAAGATAGTATCCAGAAGTAAATTTTGTAAAAATAAAATTCCTGTTTTTCCGTATTTTACTTGTAAATGGACTTAGTTTTTCTGCCAGGAAACATTACATTCACTCTGTGGTTAAAGTTTTTAAAATTTTAATAACTTTCTTAAACTATCCTGGATTTGTACCAAACTTGGACAGAAGCTTGTTTATGATCATAAGATAATATCCAGAAGTAAATTTAAAAAAAAAAAAATTCCCATTTTTTCCGTATTTTACTTATAAATGGACTTAGTTTTTCTGCCAGGAAACAATACATTCACTCTTTGGTTAAAGTTTTTGAAATTTTAATAACTTTTTTAATCTATCCTGGATTTGTACCAAATTTTGGACAGAAGCTTGTTTATGATCAAAAGCTAGTATCTAGAAGGAAATTTTGTTAAAATTTGTACCTGTTTATCCGTATTTTACTTATAAATGGACTTCCAGTTAACATTAAATACAGTCTGCAGTTAAAGTTTTTAAAACATTTATTAGATTCATAAACTATCCTGGATTTATTCCAAACTTTGACAGAAGCTTCTTACAATCAAAAGATAGTATCTAAAGGAATATTTTTATTGATTTTTTTCCTCATTTTTGTTGAGCCTGCAATTAACAGCAAAAGTAGGCGAGACACTGGGTTCCGCGGAACCCTTACATTTTCTTGAGAGTAACACACCAGCGTCATCTGGACCTCTTATATAGAGACTTATTTTGGTCTCATAACAGTCTGATTAAAACTATTTTTCTATCTACATCTAGCGCTGAGAGGTTTGATTTTAATCAGACTGGTCTCATAAAACATCTCAAATTTTAAGAAAATCCTGATTTTACTTAAATCAATCCAAATATTCTACAGGGAAACTAGGTTTTGAACAATATCTTATTTTCAGAAGTTTTATGAATACCTGAAGTTCTGAACATACTCTCGAAAGAACCAATTTATATAAAAAGACATGTAGATATAAAAAGATACCAGGATTCACATCTTGTACACCAGACGCGAGTTATGTCTACAAAGAATCATCAGTGACGCTCGAATGAAAATAGTTAAAAAGGCCAAACAAAGTACGAAGTTAAGTAATCTATTCTCATGATTCTTTGGGTAGAAAATATTTGGCATTTTGAAAATGTCAAAGTTTATAAAAATACAGTGACTTAAAAAACAAAACAAAAGAGAAACAGCTAGAGGTCAGAATGCCATTAGCAATATATGATGACCGTGCTTGAAAGTCAAATGTCAAGCTCGTACTGCCGTGTCCTGAATTTAGATAAGAAAAGCGAAAAATTGCATTCACGAGTGAAATTATATTTATGCATGAACGTGGTATTTTTGTGCAAGAAATAAATAGAAAGCATACGCACTGATACTCTGGATAAGAATATGAATTTGCGTCATCACATATAGTAATCTAATAATTGAATTCGGATGTCAAACTACCTACCTCAAGTGTTTTTACTCCGGATTCATTGACATTTTATCCGGAATTGTTGTGAACGCAAACCGATAGTGTGCGTACGAACAAGGTGATGTATAATGTGAATGAATCAAGACGTGTAGGATAGCTGGTCAATGGGACTATTGACCGGTCAAATAGTTCAACGCTTGCAATTTGAAAAAATAGTCAAAATATTGTGTACTTATTTTATGTAGAAAATGATAACTGATGTATGATAAATTGCTATACAAAATATAAGCAGAGACTTATAAATCCATACTAAACAGTATAAAATAATTAACATTATGATAGTAATTAATTTTGTTATGATTATTGTAAAATATTAATAACGTTGTTGTATGTATGAGATACAAGGATTTAAAATCCTTGTGAATTGAAACCACGCAAGTATTTTTTTCATTCACGACCGTTTGAAATTTAGATATTTAGCTAACTTTGGGTACGCACCCCTGCTCATTGGTGCTCATACGTTATATATAATGTTCATAAATGTAATGACTGATCAAACCTGTGAGACGTAATGCACGTATACATTATAATATTAATTTTATTCTATAATTATAAGGGATAAATTCAGTCGCAGTTTTACCTTAACAATGAATATTCTCTTAGTCATGTTAGTCTGGTAGTATCTATTAATGAAATTAGATATTTTTTTTATAGAAAAATCCTTTTGTTTGATTATCTTTCTGCTTACCGACCACTGTTTTTCCGACCTTAGATAAATATTTTTAACAGAAATATTGTTTTCTTAATTTTCTTCATGCTTTCCGACATTTCTCATGCTATGATTGAAATACTAAATATCAAATGATAAACATTCAGAAACAATCAATTTATTCTCGGTCATTGTATATCGATAAACTATTCCCAGGTTTATTAAATACTTCACACATAACGCGTAGAGGGACCGTCTCAAAGCATGCATTATATAATTGCGTTATCATTATACTTGATATTTAATAAACATTCACATTATTAAAACATATATGTTTTGTCAAAGGGCAAATAGGTTCTAACATATATCATGTATATTGAATTTTAGAATGCAACCTAGTCTTTATTGTTTTACTTTCAAATCTACAAAATGAATTTGCCGGATTGTTGAAATATACAATGTCACGTGGTAGCCTATCCATAGAGGGACCGTATCAAAGACATAAATAACTACCTGTATAAATATTCTGAGAATCGTTATTCCGAGGATATCGAGTGGCCCATAGTCACTTCCAAAACTCGCCAATATATAAGCGTGAACCCCTCAGGCAAAAAATTTACTTATACAAGTGAATTTTTAAGAAATTAAGGGGAGATTATTCAAACATTATAATTAACTTGTATAAGTATATTTTTTTTACTTCTTCAAGAAAATAAATATTACTTGTACAAGTAGTACCCCTGACTACTAACTTTTTAAAAACCCAAAATAGAAATATGGTTCTTTGGAAAAAGTTGTTTCATTTTCTATAAATTTGTGCCATTTTAAGTATTACTTAATTTAATTTTTCGTAACTGGTCTTTTTACTGTAAAAAGACCCAGTTAAGAAAAGTTAAATTTTAGCACTATCACATGAGGGATTGTTACTCATTTGAGGAATAGTTCCCCATTTGGCGGGTTGTACCCAACTAGCCTGGGATCCTGGCTCAACTTGTCAGTATCTTGTGACGCGAAGCTAGATTGGGCCGGGATGCCAGGCTAGTACCCAACCTGCTAAATCCGCTACTCTGCATGAACAACATATAATGTATGTATAATATTTTTTTTACAATGTAGATATGGGGTTCTAATGGGACATCTACCAATACAATACAATATGTGTTTATTTCAGTAAAGATCCCTCGGGGGCAATCAGATTGAAGCCAGATTTTTTATTACACTGCTATTGCTTCATACTAACAACCTTTCACTAGCTATGAGCTGAACTGCTACCAGTTGATCAGTTTGTAGATAATGATTTACTGTGTAAAAAAAGGGTTGTTTTTTTATTTGAGGGAAATTATTACATGTATTACAAAGTGCAAGTGTTTCATAAAATAATCAGTGTTCTACACAAGGCCTTATAGCACGATTGTGCTATCTGAAAAGATTTTATACATGTATAGAATGTATTGTAAATGTGGTGCCAGTGCTATAATTTAAGGGAGCTATTTCAATTCCTATTGTGCCTTTTGAAAATACTGGGAGAACATTGATAATGGTACAAGACTAAAAATTCTAAAATGAGTGTAATTTTCTTTAAAATGTATTTATTATTATTGTAGACAATGCTTATGATCCTGATGTGAATGCCTCTGAAATATGGATTGATAAAAGATCTATCAATAATACTATTTGTTTAACATTTGTTGATAATGGATATGGAATGGATCCAAACAAGCTGCATAAAATGCTGAGGTTTGTATGCCACTTTTGTGGTAGGAGCCAGGTTTGCCATGATTTTAAAGCATAATTTCAACATAACTTAGAGCCCAGTAAAACACAGTTAATAGTCTTTTACAATTATTTACATATTTGCCAATCATTTACCATATGACAAAAATAACCAAAAGACATCTAAATGGCATCATACAGTCTTCAACAATAGACAGGTGCCGGTAATAATTGAAATTAGTTCTCATTCACTTGTGTTTCCTTACATCATTTGAAATAACTACTACATGTACTAGTAGAATTTATGATGCAAGTCTGTGCATTCTACTACTGTGTATCATTACCATTATTTCCTGAAGGCACAAATAATATAAGCATTCAGCAGCTTACATGTGTAAAAAAAAGCTACGTTACAGTAAAAAAAAAAAGAGAAATGACTTCAAATGTAGCTATTTAGTGTTACCACGTACTGGTAATGACATTTGGAATGTATGTAATGTCTTGTATTTTTTAGTTTTGGTTATTGTGAAAAAGAAGCAGTTGGAAGTCATCAACCAATTGGACATTATGGTAATGGGTTTAAGTCTGGATCCATGAAATTAGGGAATGATGCACTTGTTTTTACACGTCAGGAACACTATATGAGTGTTGGTATGCTATCACAGACTTACTTGAAGAACATCAAAGCAGAGACAGTTCTGGTTCCAATAGTCTCCTGGTCATTGCCTGATAATATCCTTTTATTTCAAAGAAAATTTTCTTAATCTGCATATTAAATTGGAATGATTCTAAATGAATCTTATTTCCTAGTCTATCATTTTTTCTCTTTTTTTTACGGATGGTTTAATATATATACATGTTTATAATGTACTAATTATTTTCAGATCTAGAGTCATTCAAAACTAAGGAAAAATGCTAAGATTATATGGTACATGTACTTTTACATGTGTGTGATATTATTTATAGAATAACTTACCCACAAATATAGAAAAATATTCAACTAGTGACTAAACAAGACATTAGCCGTGTTAACTGGTAAACAAATGTGAATGCGCTGTATTTTAATTCTTGGATTAGTTAATCTTTTTATTAATTGACCATGGACTTTTTAGTGGAAATAAAGTAGAAAATGAAGGGAACTATATCTTTTTCCATGCATTCTCAACTGTTTTGATGGAACGTCACCAACAACAGCCGTCTTGATAACACCTGTTGTTGTATGATGCTAGAGGAGTGAGACTATCAGATTTATTTTACATGTGAAATTATCCATTTTTATTACAATTAGAAATCAGGGTAATTCATTGCAACCAGTAATAATTACCTATTTTGATAAAAAAAGAAATACCATAATTTACACTCTGTACAATCAAATAGAGACTTTTATTTTTTTATGTTGTCTACTGATATTGACCATGTATTACATCATTTATTATGTACCTATCTTTTATAAGACAACTATTTAAAGGTGTTCATTTTAAGATTTGAGCAAAATTTTGAAAAAAATCTTAAGCACTCATAATAATTGTAATTGCAATTTACCTTGAAGAACAACTTTTTATTGGGATATATCAATGCCTAGCCCTGTAAAGGTTCTTCATCGACCTGTGCAAAACACACCAGGACTTTCCACATAAATGTGATTTGTTTAATAAGCATGCCAAACTTTCTACTTATATGCCAGTCATTTCCAATTCCAACCTATCTATGCCTCTGATGTGAAACTGCAAAAAGTTACAAGATTGTGAAAAGGTAATTTTCAAGTACACTTTTTACAAATTATCCGTAGGAGTCAAAGGGTAAAAGTTTCTTCAATGTCCAGATTGAAATCTTGAATTTTAAACTATAAAAGCCTTGCCACAAATACCAGTTGAGAAGAGTTTCTGTGTTGATCAAAACAAAGATTTTGAACTTTTTATGAGTAACCAATGTGATTACCTTAACAAAATATTGTACAGATGAGAAGTAACACAGGAGATGTGAAGAGTAATTTACAATCCATACTTCAACATTCCATTCTAAAGACAGAGAAAGATCTACTTAACGAACTGGATTCTATGGAGAAACTCAAGACTGGCACTAAAATAATTATATACAACTTAGCAAGGTAAGTGTTGGTTGCTGTAACACTAACAGAATTTTATTTACTGCAGTGTTTTATTATACTCTTTATCTATCATGAAGATACCACTCTTAGTCTTACATATCAAAACTATTGTAGTTTGACAAAATAAACTTGTTTTATAGAGTGAATCAAGTGAGTATTGCTGTTTTGTGAGTTTTAATCAGGTTTTATGTAGGAAATAGCGTTACTGGTTTCAGGTTGATTTGGGGTTATATGGTGAGCTTTTGACTCCAGTTGTTTCTGTGCAATAACTTATGAATCTTTCAACAAATGCCTTTCAAATTTTAATATGTTGTTCTTAATTGCAAAATTGAGGCAAAGTTTAATATGGAGAATTTTCACTTTTGCCGTTAAGGAGTTATGGCCCGTCATTGTTTTAACAATGACACTAATAAATGAAATAGAACCCTGTTTGCTGTCATTTTGAGAGCCTTTTGTTAGTTTATAATCTGTTGAAAGATGAATATGCTAGGTATCCACTCCTAGATAGATTACTATTCCAATTAAAGCACTACAGAAAGGTGTTGGTTCACCATTGTCAAACACAGTTTTATGAGTTATATGAAAACAAGAGAAATAACTAATATTCAGTTAAAAGAATAAATTTAGAAATGACAAATGTATTTCACTTCATTGTATTAAATTAATTTATTTTAGAATAGGAAATGGAAATTTAGAGTTAGATTTTGACAGTGACCCTTTAGACATCAGAAATCCAGATACCCATGTTAAGGATTATTCTACCATTAACAGAATACAAGCAGAATCCAAACCACGATACAAAGTTTCACTCAGGGTATGTATGATTTTGATGTTGTGTTGCTCATGTAGGTCTTGGAATTGTGAAAATATTTTGTCCTAATTTCAACTAAAAATTATCAAGACATATAACTTATGTTAGTGATATGTGATATGTTATGATTATGAAATCTGTAAATGTGAAAATGTGTAAATTATATTGGAATTGCTAGACAAGCAAAGATACACTACAGCTTGGATGGAACTTGTCATTACAACCTGTCCTTCAAAATTAACATCCTGCCAGGACTGTTTATAGCTGACTTCATAAAAAACAAAGTTGTATATTTTTTTTATTCTCTCTTGAAATTTTGCTGAAAAGGAGACACCCAGTATGTACTATTGTAACAACAAGGGCTTAATGTGTTTGTCTCGCCTGCGACGAAAGTTGTGGAAGACCAGGCATAGGTGTTACTTTTCCTGTGTCATGTGTGTCAATGACGACTGGGACAGTGTCAAAAATTTGTTAGTTTTCTTCTTAAGACGGTTTGATTGGAACTAATTGTGATGGATCAATGATATTAACTATAAAGTTGCATTATATCAGTACATATCAGTGTGAAAACTATTTTGAGGCCCTGTCCCTAGGTCATGGTCCAGCGACTCAATTAATAAGCAATTTTCAATATTAAGTTTTCTGCTTAAGTTAGTTTGATAGGAACTACTTGTGATAGATGAATGATATTTTCTTTAAAGTTGCATTACTATCATTTCATATCAGTTTTAACAACTATTTTGAGGCCCTGCCCCCATAGGTCATGGTCTAGCAACTTTCTATTAATAAGCAATATATAAATAAGTTTTCTGCTTAAGTCAGTTTGATAGGAACGACTTGTGATAGGTGAATTATATTTTCTTTAAAGTTGCATTACTATCATTACATATCAGTCTAACAACAATTTCAAGGCCCTGGCCCCAAGGTCATGGTCTGGTGAATTTGAATTAATTAGCAATTTTAAGTTTTCTGCTCAAGTCAGTTCCAACACTGATAGTAGATTGCTTGGATTTGAAAAAAAAGCATTTTAATGGCCATACTGTCAAATCATAAACAGGAAGTGGATGAGAGAATGTCAAATCTTCTAATATATTATGGTGGCAATATTTTAAATCATCAAGTGATCATACATAAGCTTCACAAGTTGTAATTTGTTTCAATTGGCAAACTCTTTTTCTTTGTATTAGCCTCCTGTTAAGTAGAAGAACCTCCTTATGGAGTTTTTCACCTTAGTAATAAGATTATGTACAGCACATACATATTTAACTAAAAAACAATTTTTTTACATAGCATTCTTTATAGATAACAAACCTTACAAAAAAGAAATTGTATTCCAGATAGAAAAATGGGGTTCAGATGAAATTTGGAATATATTTAAACATGTCTTTAACATCATTACAATACTTCTAATGGAAAGGGTAATTACTTTTTTCTTTGATATGAAATGATTTACCCAAGTTGGCTACTTAAGACCTTCTCATATGCCAGTAATTTATGAAATTGTTAATGAACTCTTTTAGTGTAAATAGATATTCAAAAGGGTTATAGTTACGGTACTGTTGTCAGGTTATTAAAGATGGCATTATTTTTAATTAATATTGATTCACTCATAGGGTCTTTGAATCGGAAATAAACACATTTATTATAAAACCAGTTGTTGGCATGACACAGGTTATGTTCTTCTCATATTTTTTATAATGGTATGATACTAAACCCCTAACAGGAGGGATTGTGCTTGATTTTCATATGATGAAGACATAATCTTTCAATCAGTTTAATTGAGGTCTGGAGCTGGCATGTCAGTAACTGCTAGTAGCCCTTTGTTAATTTTTGTATCATTGTCATTTTGCTTAGTTTCTTCTGTTACCTATTCTGACATTGGACTGTTTACTGTGCGTATTGCTGTGTGTTTGTTTATTCCACATTGGCTAGAGGTATAAGATGGTATAAGGGGAGGGTTGAGATCTCACAAAACATGTTTAACCCCACCACATTTTTGCACCTGTCCCAAGTCGGGAGCCTCTGGCCTTTGTTAGTCTTGTATGTTTTTTAATTTGAGTTCATTTATATGTTTCGGAGTTTAGTGTGACGTGCATTTTCACTGAACTAGTACATATTTTTGTTTAGGGCCAGCTGAAGCCCGACTCCGGATGCGGGATTTTCTTGCTGTGTTGAAGACCCATTGGTGGCCTTGGGCTGTTTTCTGCTCTTTGGTTGGGTTGTTGTCTCTTTGACACATTCCCCATTTCCATTCTCGATTTTATACTACTACTACAGGGGTGTTTAACAAACTTGATTACCCATGAGGGTTGGTAAATAGATATACATACTGTGCTGCTACATACTTACACATATAAAAAAAATATGGACGAGGGGGTGTAATCAAATCAAAGTATTTACAAATATATTTCAATTATTAATGCATTTTTAATTATATATATAATTAACAGTAAATATGAATAAAATGTAACTTATTTCCACTTCTGTAAATGCATAGATAAGATCATTTGAAGATAAAAACCTATTCTTTTTCAAATTTAATTTGTTTTGATTTATAAGACATTGCAGTACAAATGTTACATCACATGGTAACCAGAAAGACGATTCAGTTGGATATCACTTACCACAGCCCTCTATAAATAAGTCCTATGGAAAACACTGAACAAATATATATAGCAGCAGCAGATTATCAATTAATGTCAATCTAATTAAAGTCTGATAAATGTGACCTGCAATAATGAATTCATGTTATATATATTTATTTTTACAGGATTATTGCAGCATACTTTATCTTAAACCAAAAATGAAAATTGTTATTCGTGGGAAGAAAGTCAAGACAAAACTAATACAGAAAAGTTTATCACAGACAGAAATAGATACCTACAGACCAACATGGGCTGTATCCTTCCAAATAATCACATAATTGTTATCAGATATGATCACATTCCAGAAAGTTGTAGTGGGCTGTAGGTTCAATATTGTACACCATCAAGATTTGTGCTGGACCTTTAGTTTTCAAATGTTTACTTTTCAGCCAGATTTATTTAGTCTATCATTGATATAATGTAGCTGACAATTTAGTTGATATATTGGTAATTTTTGAACTGACTGATCTGGTTAATTTGAATATTTCTATAATATGACATTGAGATTGCATTGTCTCATGTTTGAGGCACTCCATCACTAGTTGATTTTAACTAGCATCAATCATATAAAGATAATTTAGAAAGTGGAAGAATATGGCATTGAGGATTTATTACATCACGTTAAAAAATAACGTAGAAAGTTCCTGTAAGATTGAACCACTTTTATTTGTCCATAAGTGATTGGCATAATTATGTTGTTTTAGAACTTAATTTTACTTGATCGAATAGTACATCTGGTAAAAGAGTACGATCTATAAATGTTGATTCTAATGAGATAATTAAGTTTCAATGGTATTTTAAACACATAGTAAAAAAATATTTGTTGAAACAAATAGAAGCATATGAGAAAACCCACAAATAAGGTACCGTTTTTATAGCAAATTTTCTACAACCATGAACATTAATACCAATGAAAATATATGAATATAGGGTAACTCACATTTTTTAACTGATTCCATAAAAATAGTTTGACCTTAACAGAATACAGGAGAGACCAATACCTATCAGGTTTGGATTTACATCAAGTAAAAACAGTGATGATTATGGTATTATGATGTACCATAAAAATAGATTAATACGAGCTTATGAGAAAATTGGATACCAGAAGCAGGTAAATATTTATATTCCCCAAAATAACATATTTCCAACCAAATTGTTGAAGTTAGTACATTCTCAGGTTAAAGTTTTTGTGAAGGTACTTCACCATGAAACCGGTTTCATCAACCTGAAACTTAATACACATGTTCATTGTGAGGTGAACTGTTTACATTAAATGCTAAATTAAGATTTTGAGATGAATTTACAGTTCACTAAACATGGACATATGTTAGTGTGAGCAGGGCATAGTGTCCTATTGACACATAATTTTGTTTAGCTTATGTCAGCTGTCCTTGACTTTGATTATAATGTTTCCTTGACTACTAAATTCACAGGTAAGTTTTCTATGATTAGGTCAGTTTGACAATTACAATGAGTTATTATTCAACTGTATTTGCCTTTATCTTTTTATGTTTTCAATGATAATGTGTTCATTTGTAGGTCAGCGACTCTTTTCACAAAAAATCTTACGATTAAAAGTTATACTGAAATGTGTATGACTTACGAGTATTTTTACTCTTAAGATTTTTTGTGAAAAGAGCCACAGTTTCTTACTTACTATGAGTACCAGTAATAGATCAACTTTCTTATAAGGTCTATGTAATCATGTAAGATGTATATGTAGGTTCAGTTGACCTTAAAGTCATTTTCATGGTTCATCGATGCAATGAATTTTCATGGCACATGTTACACTTATTGATGTCCAACACAGTCTTGTTTAAGACACTTAATACATGGACTACTGTGGATTCATTTATTTTCGTGGGTACCAATTGTCGTGGATTGAGGAAAACTTGTATTTTCGTGGATATTTGATTTCACGGTTTTGCCAAAGTCTGCATAAATTCCTATACAAAATTTGTAATTCGTTGGACATTGGAATTGGTGGTTCCCGGGTAAACACGAAATCCACGAAAATTGGTATCCAACGAATAATAATGAATCCACGGTAGTTAGATGTGGTATAATTCATCTGTACTATATTTACTAACCTTTCTGTTTCAGCCAAATGAACTTGGAATTGGTGTTGTTGGTGTAGTTGATTCCTATTTTCTTACTCCAATACATAACAAACAAGATTTCCAAAGAGATGATAAGTACAGGTAATTTCAAGTTTATTGTTTAAAGCATGCAGTGTGTAGATTAATTGATTGTTGGTTGCTTAACGTCCATTGGCAAATATGCAATCTGTAGAAAATTTGGGTAAGATCTATTTAATTCTGTGTGATTTATTCTCCTTTTGACAATTGGTGACTTACTAAAGAAGGCATATTTTAGAACATAAGAACTTGTACAATAATAGGTTCTAAAGGATACATCTTTCAACTGACCTGTGGATTGCTGTTTCACATTTTGTCATCCCAGGACCTTTTTTAATACACTATATGGTTGTATTGTAATACTAGAATAGTTTATATGACAAAATTGTGTGAAATTACCAAATATAATGTGTAAATAGCTAATTATAATCAAAGAATGGTGAATTAGCTATTGTGGTCCTCAAAATTATTTCACTTATTCAGTTAGTATAAAATTTCATAGAGCAAAGATGCAAGGTAAGCAGTGTGACAAGTGGAAATTTTCAGAGGTATTCATGCCAGAGTTTAAATGCCAAATCAAAAGCCTGTGAAAATTGGAACTGTATATTTTGAAAGTACAATATATATAAAGAATATTTTTGACCATGAAAATTTGAGGAAGATCAAATAGTTTCCTAAGCTGAACTTTTTTTGTTTATTTCAGTGCATTTATGACTAATGCTGCTCAAAAATTAAACGATTACTGGAATGAAAAAAGAGGAGGCAATGAGAAGACTGTACCACAAAATAAGTATGCATTATACAATGTTTCAACCAATCACATTGAATTATACAGTATAAAATGGATGTGTGTATTCCATAAAAAATGAAAACAACATGTTATAAATTTCATGCGTCCGAAGCACTTTTCTGTATTTACTTTCGTCCTGAACGCTCAAAGCTGAATATTTGAAATCCAAGGATGTATAAGAACCGAAACAGTTGAAGAGCTATATCCCATAATTCTCCTTTCATAAGCTCAAGCCTAAATGGAACAGAAGTGGAAAAAATTGACAATGGGATTGACAGACGATGATCAACTACATAAACGGTTCTTGAGAAATAATTGGCATTTTAATTTAAGAAGTCCATTGTCTTTTAAAAATTATTTTGACCTATTTTTCTAAAACTTCCTTTTGTTTCAGTTAAAACTTATTGCAGGCGTAATATCATAAAAATTGTCTCCTATTATTCTTTGTTAAATCACGCAATTTCAATTACATACAACAATTTGTATTGAAATGAAATGTAAGCTCTATTTTACAACAACACTGCAAGTGTAGTAATTTTTGTCGAGCCTGTCATGAGAGCGAGACATAGCGATCCTAGATTCCGTCGTCAGCGGCGTTAACATTTAGGTTCAGTCTGTGGTTAAAGTTTTTCTGGACATCATTAACTTTGTCAAATCTTCATTGAATTTTATGAAATTTGGACAGAGGCTTGTTTATGACCAAAATACAGTATCCGGAGCAAAATTTTGAAAATATTCATTTTCATTTTTCCGTATTTTGCTAATAAATGGACTAAGCTTTTTTTTATAGTTAACATTCAGATTTAGTCTGAGGTTAAAGTTTTTCAGTCATCAATAACTTTGTCAAACCTTCATGGAATTTTATGAAACTTGGACAGAAGCTTGTCAATGACCAAACTACAGTATCCAGAGCAAAATTTTGACTATATTTATTTTCAGTTTTCTGTATTTTACTGATGAATGGACTTCGTTTTTTTTTTTTTTTTACAGTTAACAAGTAGATACAGTCTAGGGTTAAAGTTTGTTACACATCAACTACTTTATCAAACCTCCACACATGTAGAATTTTATGAAAGTTTGGCAGAAGCTTTTTTATGATTAAGAGATATAATGTCTGAAGCAAACTTTTGAAAATATATTTTTTTCATTTTCAGTATTTTTCTGAAAGATGGACTTAGTTTTTTACAGTTAACATTTACAGACAGTCTTGGATTACATTTTTTTGACATGATAAGTTTGTAAACCTTCATGAATTGTTATGAAACTTTTACTTGGACTGAAGCTAATCTTCAAGACCAAGAAATAGCATCTAAAGAAAAAGTTTGAATTTTTTTAAAAACTCTGTATTTTACTGATAAATGGACTCACTTTTTAAGTAAAACATTACACTTTTACACCGACAGCAGTAATTGCAGGTGAGACACAGGGTTCTGTGGAACCCCTTATGAATTTTATTGTTTATGTGCTATTTTTTCATACAACCACTAGTGAGGTTATTGTTTTGGTTGTATTACGCCTTGCATATTTGATTTGAAATTGAATGCAGACTGTTTTTAATGAGACACTAAAGTAATTTTTTAGGTTAAACTTTAAATGTTGGGTTTTTTTTTTTTGGTGACCTAAGAAAACTTTGACTATGTTATTTCAGTAAAAATTGCAATTTTTTAACATGCTTAGACACACAGTTTTATAAAATGGTGCATCCAGTCAGAAAATTGTTTTGAAGGATGCATTATTTGCTTTAACGGGAACCCAGCTACAGCTTTTCATTCTATAAAAGGTTCAACATAAATTAATGAACAAAAAATTTAAAGAGAACTTTATTTGTCAACCATACATGGACAGTTCATCCATTTTCAGTCCCAAATATTGAATTTGCCCTAAAAATGTCTATACTCTAAGACCTTTTTAAAAGTATTTTGTGGATACACCTTTTAACAAATAAAAAGCATAAAAATATTTGATGACAATATTTTACAGACAAACAGTTCCTGATTGGACCTGGGCTCAGTGTGATAATTGTTTGCGGTGGAGAAGATTGACAACAGGAATGACATCTGAGGATCTCCCAGATAAATGGTTCTGTCATATGAATGCAGATGCACAATTCAAGTATGTGTAAATTTTTAATTTAACATGAAATTATATTACAATTTGCTCTGACACAAATTTCAGAGAAGAGAATTATTTGTTATCCCTACTTATATATAGTTTATGTTATATTATTAATTATATGCAACCTCCCTAGTGGACTTGTGGCAGAGTGCTTGTGTGCAAGTCTTGGAGTTTTAACAGTTTTATTCCGGCCAGATCAAAACCAAAACCAAAAAAAATGTACTAACTTGTTCTCCACCAGCAATCTGCTGTTAGCAGTAATATCAAATCATATGCATTGACATCTCAACCAATTGTTTTCTTATAAATGTTGAAATTTGGCTGACTGTGTCAATCAAGTACAAAGCATATCTTAGTGTTAAACATATTGTCATTCTGAAATTGGTTGTGAGATTGCTTGTTGTACATCTAGTCATTCATCCTATTCTCAGTCCCAAATTTTGAAATTAAAGCCTAACAACTTGGATGATTTAAAATATTTTTTTTTAGTAAAATCTGATTTTGAAAATATTGTATGTCAGTATAAATTTAATTGGAATATTCATATTAATATGCATGTTTATTAACCTCCACTGTTGAATTTATGGATATGCTAGTATGTACCTATCTGTCTCTGTCTATTTGTCAAACTGTTTTTTTGCAAGGACAATAATCATTGTGAAGACAAGCAATATTAATTTTTAGATATATTTAAATAAAAATATGAAGATGTGGTTTGATTTCCAGTGAGTTAAACTATTTACTCAAGTCCAAAGTACAAGAATGTTAACAACTAAAGGTCACCTTGAAGCTTCAACAATGAGTTCATATTTGGTATGGTAACTTGAAATAGGAAGATATTCATATTGCCATGATTTTCCAAACAAACAAGATTAGCTTAAAAGACAATTATGAGTAATCTTAGCATGAAATAAAATCTTTTTCAAAGTTGGATAAGACAAAGGAAATAACATTATAAATTTAGTACAGGCTATGAGTTAAAAATCTCATAAAATGTTTATAGCTTACTATGCAGTATGGGTTTATGTTTATCTCATGGTTGATGGTCTTATGTTGACCTATAATTGTTTTACATCATTTGGTCTCTGATGAAAAGTTGGCAATCATACCACATCTTCTTATTTTTTGTCTCGCCTGCAACGAAAGTCGCTGAATGCGAGACATAGGTATTGCTTTTATGGCGACAATGTTGTTGTCGTTGATGGCGTCAACAATTGCTAAGTTTTCTGCTTAAAGTTAGATTGATAGGAACTAAAGATCAATAATATTTTGAATGAAGTTGCATTACTATCAGTACATATCAGTTTGACGACTATTTTGAGGTCATGGTCCAGTGACTTTAAATTAATTAGCAATTTTAAATGTTAAGTTTTCTGCTGAAGTTAGTTTGATAGGAACTACTTGTGATAGGTCAATGATATTTTCTATAAAGTTGCATTAATTACTATCACTTCATATCAGTTTAACAACTATTTTGAGACCCTGCCCCCTTGGTCATTGAATTAATTACCAATTTTCAATGTTAAGCATGTTGAGTTTTCTGCTTTAGTTAGATTGATAGGAACTACTTGTGATAGATCAATGATAATTTCTATAAAGTTACATTGCTGTCTGTACATCTCAGTTTGTCAACCATTTCGAGGCCCTGCCCTGGCTGCCCACTATTCATGGTCTAGCAACTTTAAATTAATTAGCAATGTTGCTGTCTTTTTCTGAATTTTATGCCGACAGGCGAGACATATCTCTGTGTCAACAGTTTATTTATGAAATTTAAACATAACTCACCCAATGATGACACATAGAAATCACAACTTTGTATGGCTGCCTTTGGATAACATTATATTAAAGGTCTGTTAAAAGTTGTTCTCCAAGCAATTGATTGCCTTCCTGGAAGTATTGTATAATGAAATAGTCCAAAAAGGTTATCAAGAAAGTCTGACAATGGTTGAGAAACAAACAAAACAAACAAACATCACCTACCCTGCTTCAACATGAAAATATCAATCATGATTTCAATTTAATTCATTATTTGGATAAAATGTTTTTATGAGGTCAGTCAAATAGTTCCATTTAATTTATTGAATTTATGAAATTTTCAGATAAATGAGAATGCAACAAATCTATACTGAGAATAATCTATAATTTTTGTTTTGTATTTTAGTCGATGTGCAATTCCTGAAGAGCCTGAAGATGAGGATGAAGCACTGTCAGGAGCTACTTACAAGAAAACATTTAAAAAACAACAGTAAGTTATAACACTGTAAAGTTTCTTGATTTTGACATAGGTGGTACTATTTCTCTTGAATTTTTAGCTCACCTGGCCTGTCGTCGTCGTCGTCGTCGTTAGCTTTTTACAAAAATCTTCTCCTCTGAAACCACTGGGCCAAATTTAACCAAACTTGGCCACAATCATCATTAGGGTATCTAGTTTAAAAAATGTGTCCGATGACCCCGCCAACCAACCAAGATGGCGGCCATGGCTAAAAATAGAACATAGGGGTAAAATGTAGATTTTGGCTTATATCTCTGAAACCAAAGCATTTAGAGTAAATCTGAAAGAGGGTAAAACTGATTATCAGGTCAAGATCTATCTGCACTGAAATTTTCAGACAAATCTGACAACCTGTTGCTGGGTTGCTGCCCCTGAATTGGTAATTTTAAGGAAATTTTGCAGTTTTTATACGACCGCAAAAATTAAAAATTTTTTGGTCGTATATTGGTATGACGTTGGCGTCGTCGTCGTCGTCGTCGTCGTCGTCGTCTGGCGTCGTCCGGCGTCGTCCGAAGACACATTGGTTTTCGCACTCTAACTTTAGTTTAAGTGAATGGATCTCCAATTTTACCATAAGGTTCAATACCACGAAAGGAAGGTTGGGATTGATTTTGGGGGTTATGGTACCAACAGTTAAGGAATTAGGGGCCAAAAAGGGGCAAAAAATAAGCATTTTTGTAACTTCCAGACAATAACTTGTGTGTAAGTGTATGGATCTCTCTGACATTGTACCACAAGGTTCCATATCACAAAGGGAAGGCTGTAATTGATTTTGGGGGTAATTGCCTCAAAATTTTAGGAATTAGGGGCCAAAAAAGGGGCAAAAAACAAGCATTTTTCTAGTTTCATGACAATAACTTGTGTGTAAGTATTTGGATATTTCTGAAATTGTACTACAAGGTTCCATATCACAAAGGGAAAGCTGGAATTGAGTTTGGGGGTAATTGCCCGAAAAGTTTAGGAATTGGGGGCCAAAAAGGGGCCAAAAATAAGCATTTTTCTAGTTTCCAGACAATAACTTGTGTTCAAGTGTATGGATCTCTCTGAAATTGTACTGCAAGGTACCATACCACAAAAGGAAGGCTGGTATTGAGTTTGGGGTGATGAATCATAAGGGGGTTCAAAAAATTTGGGAGGGGGGATTTTTTGTTTTTGTTTTTGTTTTTTTTTTTCCTTTTATTTTTCTTTTAAAATTTTCCATTTTAAGTTGGTTATTTCTGATTAATATTTAAAAGCAAATAATAATGATATGGTAGGAGATACACACCAAACAGGATGTGTAAATTATTATATAATAAGTATTGTGCAATAGCAAGAAATTTTCAATTGCACAGTATTGCACAATAGCAAGAAATCTTCAATTGCACAGTATTGCGCAATAGCAAGAAATCTTCAATTGCACAGTATTGCGCAATAGCAAGAAATATCCAATAGCACAATATTGCGCAATAGCAAGAAATTGTCAATTGTACAGTATTGCGCAATAGCAAGAAATATTCAATTGCACAGTATTGTGCAAAAGAAGATACTTCGTATAAATTGCTTATTTCTAACAAAAAAAGACTTGATCAATTTCAATGGGGTTTTATTCTTGAATTCTTGGGGTTCTTTAATATGCTGAATCTAACCGTGTATTAAGTTTTTGGATTTTGGGCCCCATTTTTAAATTGGTCCACATTGAGGTCCAAAGGGTCCAAAATTTAACTTTGTTTGATTTCATCAAAAATTGAATTATTGGGGTTCTTTGATATGCCGAATCTAACCGTGTATTTAGATTCTTAATTTTTGGTTCCGTTTTCAAATTGGTCTACATTAAGGTCCAAAGGGTCCAAAATTAAACTTAGTTTGATTTTAACAAAAATTGAATTTTTAGGGTACTTTGATATGCTGAATCTAAACATGTATTTAGATTTTTGATTATGGGCCCAGTTTTCAAGTTGGTCCAAATCGGGGTCCAAAATTAAACTTTGTTTGATTTCAACAAAAATTGAATATATGGGATTCTTTGATATGCTGAATCTAACCATGTATTTAGATTTTTGATTTTTGGGCCCCATTATCAACTTTGTCCACATTGAGGTCAAAAGGGTCCAAAATTAAACTTTGTTTGATTTCATCAAAAATTGAATTCTTTGGGTTCTTTGATATGCTGAATCTAACCATGTATTTAGATTTTTTATTTGTGGACCCGCTATCAAATTGGTTCATATTGAGGTCAAAAGGGTCCAAAATTAAACTTTGTTTGATTTCATCAAAAATTGAATATTGGGGTTCTTTGATATGCCAAATCTAACCGTGTATTTAGATTTTTAATTTTGGGTCCCGTTTTTAAATTGGTCTACATTAAGGTCCAAAGGGTCCAAAATTAAACTTAGTTTGATTTTAACAAAAATTGAATTCTTGGGGTTCTTTGATATGCTGAATCTAAACATGTGTTTAGATTTTTGATTATGGGCCCAGTTTTCAAGTTGGTCCAAGTTGGGGTCCAAAATTAAACTTTGTTTGATTTCAACAAAAATTGAATATATGGGGTTCTTTGATATGCTGAATCTAAACATGTATTTAGATTTTAGATTTTTGGCCCAGTTTTCAAGTTGGTCCAAATTGGGGTCCAAAATTAAACTTTGTTTGATTTCAACAAAAAATTAATATATGGGGTTCTTTGATATGCTGAATCTTACCATGTATTTAGATTTTTTATTTTGTGGGCCCGCTATCAAATTGGTTCATATTGAGGTCAAAAGGGTCCAAAATTAAACTTTGTTTGATTTCATCAAAAATTGAATTATTGGGGTTCTTTGATATGCCAAATCTAACCGTGTATTTAGATTTTTAATTTTGGGTCCCGTTTTTTAAATTGGTCTACATTAAGGTCCAAAGGGTCCAAAATTAAACTTAGTTTGATTTTAACAAAAATTGAATTTTTGGGGTTCTTTGATATGCTGAATCTAAACATGTGTTTAGATTTTTTATTATGGGACCAGTTTTCAAGTTGGTCCAAGTTGGGGTCCAAAATTAAACTTTGTTTGATTTCAACAAAAATTGAATATATGGGGTTCTTTGATATGCTGAATCTAAACATGTATTTAGATTTTAGATTTTTGGCCCAGTTTTCAAGTTGGTCCAAATTGGGGTCCAAAATTAAACTTTGTTTGATTTCAACAAAAATTGAATATATGGGGTTCTTTGATATGCTGAATCTTACCATGTATTTAGATTTTTTATTTTGTGGGCCCGCTATCAAATTGGTTCATATTGAGGTCTTAAGTGTCCAAAATTAAACTTTGTTTGATTTCATCAAAAATTGAATTATTGGGGTTCTTTGATATGCCAAATCTAACCGTGTTTTTAGATTTTTAATTTTGGGTCCCGTTTTTTAAATTGGTCTACATTAAGGTCCAAAAGGTCCAAAATTAAACTTAGTTTGATTTTAACAAAAATTGAATTCTTGGGGTACTTTGATATGCTGAATCTAAACATGTGTTTAGATTTTTGATTATGGGACCAGTTTTCAAGTTTGTTCAAGTTGGGGTCCAAAATTAAACTTTGTTTGATTTCAACAAAAATTGAATATATGGGGTTCTTTGATATGCTGAATCTAACCATGTATTTTGATTTTGGACATTGGACCATAATAGGTAAATTAAAAAAATTGAAGTTCTTAGACCACATTCTTTCTGTGTCAGAACCTATGCTGTGTCAAATATTTAATCACAATCCAAATTCAGAGCTGTATCAAGCTTGAATGTTGTGTCCATACTTGCCCCAACTGTTCAGGGTTCGACCTTTGCGGTCGTATCAAGCTGCGCCCAGCGAAGCATTTTATTGATTATGGGACCAGTTTTCAAGTTTGTCCAAGTTGGGGTCCAATATTAAACTTTGTTTGATTTCAACAAAAATTGAATATATGGGGTTCTTTGATATGCTGAATCTAACCATGTATTTTGATTTTGGACATTGGACCATAATAGGTAAATTAAAAAAATTGAAGTTCTTAGACCACATTCTTTCTGTATCAGAAACCTATGCTGTGTCAAATATTTAATCACAATCCAAATTCAGAGCTGTATCAAGCTTGAATGTTGTGTCCATACTTGCCCCAACTGTTCAGGGTTCGACCTCTGCGGTCGTATCAAGCTGCGCCCAGCGAAGCATTTTATTGGTTTATATCTCTGAAACTAAAGCATTCAGAGCAAATCTGACAGGTGGCAAAACTGTTCATCAGATTTAGATTTATCTGCCCTGAAATTTTCAGAAGAATCCGACAACCTGTTGTTGGGTTGCTGCCCCTGAGTTAGTAATTTTACAAAAATTTTGCAGTTTTTTGTTATTATCTTAGATATCATTATAATATCTAAAGTAATGCTATTAATTATGATTTTAACCTTATTTTACATGATTTCCAAAGCATCAGTAAATACAGGTGAGTGACACAGGCTCTTGAGAGCCTCTAGTTATTTGTGAGTGGTTGGTAATTTTGAAGTAATAATCTTTGGTGAATAACTTGGATTCTTTGGGGGATAAAATTAGTACGACTGTTTTTATGTTTGAATCATGCTCACAAAACATGTTTAACCCTGGCGCATTTTTGCGCCTGTCCCAAGTCAGGAACCTCTAGCCTTTGTTTGTCTTGTGTGTTTTTTAATTTTGGTTATTTGCATGTTTCAGAGTTTAGCATGGTGTCCATTTCGCTGAACTAGTATACATTGTTGTTCATGGGCCAGCTGAAGTCCGGCTTTGGGTGCTGGGACATGTGTGAGCTTACTCATTGAAAATTCTTCCATCTAAAAAGAGTTAAATCTCTTTATTTTATGCAAATGCAAAAAACTAATGTAACTCATTTTTGCATCAAGTGTCTTTGTGGTCAATTTGAAAAGCTAGTGTAACTCATTTTTGCATCAAGTGTCTTTGTGGTCAATTTGAAAAGCTAGTGTAACTCATTTTTGCATCAAGTGTCTTTGTGGTCAATTTGAAAAGCTAGTGTAACTCATTTTTGCATCAAGTGTCTTTGTGGTCAATTTGAAAAGCTAGTGTAACTCATTTTTGCATCAAGTGTTATAAACATAAAAGGGAAAACAGGAATCACAAAATAACACTGTTGATTTTCAAATGTTTTATTTCTCGTCATGAAATGTATTTTTCTTTATTTCAGGCAAGAAAAGAAAATAAAAATCAAATTTATGGCTGTAAGTATAACAGTAAAGTAAATTATCCTTATTTCTGTCAGATACCATACAATCAGACATAGATAGGGGATTGGCTGCTCAAATGTTTAAACAAGTCAAAACAAATTTCTAATCTCCAAAAAAATTATATTCAGTTTAGAACATGAAATAAAAAATCTTCATATTTTTGAATGCTTATAGTTGCATATTTTCTACTCATCCCAGAAATATTATGACTTGCAATTGAAGAACTAACCATTCTTTTATAATTTTTTTGTACATGGAAATAGGTTTTTTATGTGTTTTTGTATCATTCAATTATTTAATTGCATTTGCTAACAAAAATAATGCTGTTTTTACAGGCAGAGCAAAATAGAACACGAGAAATGTTATTAGCAGCAAAGGAAAAAGAACTTGCTAGAAAGGAACAAGAAATGAAAAAGAAAACTGCTGTAGGAGAGGTATTTACTTTAGTGTTAATTTGTGGTATGGGTACCATATTTTGTGGCTTAAGAAGAAGTTATAATTTTTGTCTCATCTACAACAAAAGTTGCAGAATGCAGGACATAGGGATGCTTTATATTTTATATATAAGAAGACTTGGATACTTCATATATTGTATACAGATGCCTCATGTTATGAAGTCCCGTTTGGCAAATGTCCATTGTCCTTAACCAAATTTTCATGGTTCACCGCCTTTTACGAGTGATAAGACAACTATATTTGGTATATGGAATCATTGCAAGGTTACATGTCTGTCAGACAGGGTACACCTGACCTTGACCTTATATTATTGATCAGTTATCAAGGTTAATTTTTGTGGTCAAGTCCATATCTCATACTATAAGCAGTAATTTCTTTTTAAGGTCAACTATATTTGGTGTATGGAATGATTCTACGGTAACATGTCTGTCTGGCCGCGTTAATCTGACCTTGAACACCTTATTTCTTTGTTCATTTCTAATCACATTATCTATAAAAATTAGTATCAATCCATAATAGATTATAATAAGTATGCTGTATAATGAATCCACTATAGATTATAATAAGATTATAATAGGTATGCTGTATAATGAATCCACTTTAGATTATAACAAAATTATAATAAGTATGTTGTATAATGAATCCATAATAGATTATAATTAGTATGCTGTATAATGAATCCACTATAGATTATAATAAGTATGCTGTATAATGAATCCATAATAGATTATAATAAGTATGCTGTATATATAATGAATCCACTATAGATTATAATAAGTATGCTGTATAATGAATCCACTATAGATTATAATAAGTATGCTGTATAATGAATCCATAATAGATTATAATAAGTATGCTGTATAATGAATCCATAATAGATTATAATTAGTATGCTGTATAATGAATCCACTATAAATTATAATAAGTATGCTGTATAATGAATCCACTATAAATTATAATAGTATGCTGTATAATGAATCCACTATAAATTATAATAAGTATGCTGTATAATGAATCCATTATAGATTATGATTATTTATTATACACCTCTTTACATGTCTATAATAATTTAGAATGACTGACATGTACAGAGCATTCTGCCTTACTGCATTTTTGGTTTCAAATTCATTGTACGTAACATCTCAAGAATAAAGGGAAAACTGATTTAGGGTCACATTTATAAACATGTCTTGATAGATCAGCTGTTTTTGTCAGTCCTAAAGGGTCTACATATTTGACAACCCTACGACTGACATTCTCCATCCGGTAACCAAGGTTAATGGACCGACTGATCCATGCTCAACTGCTGTTCACATGGAACCCTTCTCCCCATCAGTCTTCAAAGTTATACATGGCTACCACCAAAAATCACATATACTTCATCTCAAATTTAGCAAAAATAAATATATTCCACCCTCAAAATTGTCTGTACACACAGATTTGATTTAAGTCATCTCTCGAGAAAGGAACTTACAATCATTTTTCACATCCAACATATATAACCTAAAGAAATGTTAGCAATCATCAATTCAGATCTTCAAGGCCCTTGTGAGGAAAATTACTTTCACAGTTGAAAAGTTTGGCATCCGTCATTGTCCATATTTTTTGTTCTCTAAAACTCCTACTATCAATTTCTTAATTTTCCTCAGGGAATTCCTTTTTATACGACCGCAAAAAAATTTTGTGGTCGTATATTGGTATGACGTTGGCGTCGTCGTCGTCGTCGTCCGGCGTCGTCGTCCGAATACATATTGGTTTTCGCACTCTAACTTTAGTTTAAGTTAATGGATCTTTTTGAAATTTGACCATAAGGTTAAATACCACAAAAGGAAGGTTGGGATTGATTTTGGGGGTTATGGTACCAACAGTTAAGGAATTGGGGGCCAAAAAGGGGCCAAAAATGAGCATTTTCTAGTTTCCAGACAATAACTGTGGAACGGTGTATGGATCTCTCTGAAATTATACTACAAGTTTCCATACCACAAAGGGATGGTTAGGATTTGCTTTGGGGGGTTATGGCTCAAACCGTTTAGGAATTAGGGGCAAAAAAGGGGGAAAAACAAGGTTGTCCTGGTTAATGGACAAATACTTTAGTACAAAACATAATTTAAAGCAGTGTAAGGGAGATAAATCAAATACATCATTGAAATTATCTCCCTTACACTGCTTTTAAATTATGTATAAAGTAATGGTTAATGAACAATAAAGATAATCTAAAACAGTGTAAGGGAGGTAATCCAAATACAACGTTTTGGTTACTTCCCTTACACTGCTTTTAAATTATGTTTAAAGAAATGCATATTTATAAAGGAAGACCAATAAAAATATCTGCAAATGTTTTCATCTTTTTTTTTTACAAAAAAATCCATATGAAAGATTTGACACTATATTTTTATTAATTCTATTATAAAATAGATTAAGTTAGCACTATGGTAAATTTAAATGGGTAATTATGGTTGCCAACTCCATTGGAAATTTGAATTGAGATTATGACCATATCTTGAGGGAAAGAATTTTTTTGGGGGAAAAAGGGGGGGGGGGATAAAAAGAAATTGTGGGGGGCCAATTTTTTCTCATTTCAGATTTCAGAAATTAAAAAGAATTATTCTTCAAATATTATTTTTTTTTCAAATTTCAAATATTGAAAAATTTCAAGAAGTAATCTTTAATTGCACAGTATGGCGCATTAGATTTGTAAAATCTTTGATCACATTTATTTATTTGTTATGCCGAATCTAACAGTGTATTTAGATTTTTAATTTTGGGTCCAGTTTTCAAATTGGTCTACATTAATGTCCAAAGGGTCCAAAATTAAACTTTGTTTGATTTTAGCAAAAATTGAATATATGAGGTTCTTTGATATGCTGAATCTAAACATGTATTTAGATTTTTGATTTTTGGCCCAGTTTTCAAGTTGGTCCAAATTGGGGTCCAAAATTAAACTTTGTTTGATTTCAACAAAAATTGAATATATGGGGTTCTTTGATATGCTGAATCTAACCATGTATTTAGATTTTTTATTTGTGGACCCCGTTATCTAATTGGTTCATATTGAGGTCAAAAGGGTCCAAAATTAAACTTTGTTTGATTTCATCTAAAATTGAATTATTGGGGTTCTTTGATATTCCAAATCTAACCGTGTATTTAGGTTTTTAATTTTGGGTCCTGTTTTTTTAAATTGGTCTACATTGAGGTCCAAAGGGTCCAAATTAAACTTAGTTTGATTTTAACAAAAATTGAATTCTTGGGGTTCTTTGATTTGCTGAATCTAAACATGTGTTTAGATTTTTGATTATGGGCCCAGTTTTCAAGTTGGTCCAAGATAGGTTCCAGTATTTAAACTTTGTTTGATTTCAACAAAAATTGAATATATGGGGTTCTTTGATATGCTGAATCTAAACATGTATTTAGATTTTTGATTATGGGCCCAGTTTTCAAGTTGGTCCAAATTGGGGTCCAAAATTAAACTTTGTTTGATTTCAACAAAAATTGAATATATGAGGTTCTTTGATATGCTGAATCTAACCATGTATTTAGATTTTTTATTTGTAGGCCCCGCTATCATATTGGTTCATATTGAGGTCAAAAGGGTCCAAAATTAAACTTTGTTTGATTTCATCGAAAATTGAATTATTGGGGTTCTTTGATATGCCAAATCTAACCGTGTTTTTAGATTTTTAATTTGGGTCCCGTTTTTTAAATTGGTCTTCATTGAGGTCCAAAGGGTCCAAAATTAAACTTAGTTTGATTTTAACAAAAATTGAATTCTTGGGGTTCTTTGATATGCTGAATCTAAACATGTGTTTAGATTTTTGATTATGGGCCCAGTTTTCAAGTTGGTCCAAGTTGGGGTCCAAAATTATATTTTTTTTGATTTCAACAAAAATTGAATATATGGTGTTCTTTGATATGCTGAATCTAACCATGAACTTAGATTTTTTATTTGTGGGCCCCGCTATCAAATTGGTTCATATTGAGGTCAAAAGGGTCCAAAATTAAACTTTGTTTGATTTCATCAAAAATTGAATTATTGGGGTTTTTTGATATTCCAAATCTAACCGTGTATTTAGATTTTTAATTTTAAGTCCCATTTTTTAAATTGGTCTACATTAAGGTCCAAAGGGTCCAAAATTAAACTTAGTTTGATTTTAGCAAAAATTGAATTCTTGGGGTTCTTTGATATGCTGAATCTAAACATGTGTTTAGATTTTTGATTATGGGCCCAGTTTTCAAGTTTGTCCAAGTTGGGGTCCAAAATTAAACTTTGTTTGATTTTAACAAATATTGAATATATGGGGTTCTTTGATATGCTGAATCTAACCATGTATTTTGATTTTGGACATTGGACCATAATAGGTAAATTAAAAAAATTCAAGTTCTTAGACCACATTCTTTCTGTGTCAGAAACCTATGCTGTGTCAAATATTTAATAACAATCCAAATTCAGAGCTGTATCAAGCTTGAATGTTGTGTCCATACTTGCCCCAACTGTTCAGGGTTCGACCTCTGCGGTCGTATCAAGCTGCGCCCCAGCGAAGCATTTTATTCGATTTACAATTGTAAATGGCATAGACATCTTCTCTGATTTTCCAGCTATTGAACATCAATTGATTTTTATACGACCGCAAAATTTTTTGCGGTCGTATATTGGTATGATGTCGTCGTCGTCGTCGTCGTCCGAAGACACATTGGTTTTCGCACTCTAACTTTAGTTTAAGTGAATGGATCTCTTTGAAATTTTACCATAAGGTTCAATACCACAAAAGGAAGGTGGGGATTGATTTAGGGGGTTATGGTACCAACAGTTAAGGAATAAGGGGCCAAAAAGGGGCCAAAAATAAGCATTTTCTAGTTTCCAGACAATAACTCTGGAACGGTGTATGGATCTCTCTGAAATTATACTACAAGTTTCCATACCACAAAGGGATGGTTAGGATTTGCTTTGGGGGGTTATGGCTCAAACCGTTTAGGAATTAGGGGCAAAAAAAGGGGGAAAACAAGGTTGTCCTGGTTAATGGACAAATACTTTAGTACAAAACATAATTTAAAGCAGTGTAAGGGAGAAATTGTGGGGGGTCAATTTTTTCTCATTTCAGATTTCAGAAATTAAAAAGAATTATTCTTCAAATATTTTTTTTTTTTCAAATTTCAAATATTGAAAAATTTCAAGAAGTAATCTTTAATTGCACAGTATAGCGCATTAGATTTGTAAAATCTTTGACCACATTTATTTATTTGTTATGCCGAATCTAACCGTGTATTTAGATTTTTAATTTTGGGTCCAGTTTTCAAATTGGTCTACATTAAGGTCCAAAGGGTCCAAAATTAAACTTTGTTTGATTTTAACAAAAATTGAATATATGGGGTTCTTTGATATGCTGAATCTAAACATGTATTTAGATTTTTGATTTTTGGTCCAGTTTTCAAGTTGGTCCAAATTGGGATCCAAAATTAAACTTTGTTTGATTTCAACAAAAATTGAATATATGGGGTTCTTTGATATGCTGAATCTAACCATGTACTTAGATTTTTTATTTGTGGGCCCCGCTATCAAATTGGTTCATATTGAGGTCAAAAGGGTCCAAAATTAAACTTTGTTTGATTTCATCAAAAATTGAATTATTGGGGTTCTTTGATATTCCAAATCTAACCGTGTATTTAGATTTTTAATTTTGGGTCCCGTTTTTTAAATTGGTCTACATTAAGGTCCAAAGGGTCCAAAATTAAACTTAGTTTGATTTTAACAAAAATTGAATTCTTGGGGTTCTTTGATATGCTGAATCTAAACATGTATTTAGATTTTTGATTATGGGCCCAGTTTTCAAGTTTGTCCAAATTGGGGTCCAAAATTAAACTTTGTTTGATTTCAACAAAAATTTAATATATGGGGTTCTTTGATATTCTGAATCTAACCATGTATTTTGATTTTGGACATTGGACCATAATAGGTAAATTAAAAAAATTCAAGTTCTTAGACCACATTCTTTCTGTGTCAGAAACCTATGCTGTGTCAAATATTTAATCACAATCCAAATTCAGAGCTGTATCAAGCTTGAATGTTGTGTCCATACTTGCCCCAACTGTTCAGGGTTCGACCTCTGCGGTCGTATCAAGCTGCGCCCAGCGAAGCATTTTATTAGAATTTCATCTGACCTTGATTCTAAAACATTTTATGTTGAACTAATTGAAATGGTAATAGCTTCAAAATTTGAATTGAAAAAAAAAAACACAGTTGTAAACTTTTTTACTCATCTAACCTTTGTTGGAATATTATAGGGATATTGCATGAATATTGAGGAATATTGTCCCAAGTAAGTGAAATGTATATTCTATAATGGATTAACAGGGGAATAATTAAAGGATTCTTTATTTGTAGGTATCTAGCACAGCAGGTTCTCCATCTGTGAATCCAAACTCTATGACTCCAGTTCAAATCAGAAGGATGAAAAAAGATCTTGACAAACTGATGAAAGAGAAGCAGAATAAAGAAAAAGAAATAAGTGAACTTAAAAGACAAAAAACTATGAGCGAAAGAATTTGTCGTGAATATCAGAAAAAGGCACGACATTTGAATTTAGATAATTTAATTTCAAGTGTCAATAAACAGGTATTGATTAGGTTTCTCAACTTTGTGTTTTGCATGCATTATTTTGTAAGTTTAACAAATAAGATCTCAGATTCTTTTTTTTTTTTTTTTTTTTTTTCTACCATATAGTGACCGCTTCAACAAATTGAAGATTATGTCTTAATAACCAACAGTGAAATAATTTAGAATAAGGAGGCATCTAGCTGAAATACACAGTAATTCTATACAACTTGTAAGATAGATTGTTTCTCAATTTTTTCTGACCGACCGACCCAAATCTTTCACACCAAAAATCCATAAACCAACATATTAAAAAAACCTGACCTAAGTGTGAAATGGAAAAAAAATATTAAGATACATTTCTGTACTTTTTTCCAAAGAAGATCTATTTGTCGCTGAACATGCTGAAGATATCTAATTTATACAGTTGAGTAGTAAGACAAATCACTATGTTCTGGTTAACTATTTAGGTAAAATTGCATACTTGTAAATTGCTTTAAAAAATATATTTTTGTAGATTGAGGAAGACACTAGAGACGTTACATCAACAAGGTAATTCTTTGTACAATAGGTTTAAATAGTGCATGCGTTTGCTTTGAGGCTGATTATATGTAGGCCAAATTGAGTTTGGGAGGAGATACTGCATTTTAATGTTTAATATTGTAGTTCTGGCTCTAAATGGTTAACATTTGCCATAAAATTGAATTCTTAATTTTAAAGTGCTGATTTTAATTTTTTCATGTATTTCTTATGGGAAAAATAATAATAATCGGGGGTTTCACTGCGGTTTTCCATAATAATGGAAAGCTGCAGTGAACCCCCTGAGTGAACACTTGAAGATTATGCACCATTCATTGGGAAATCTGTGTCTTACATTTAAATCATTAGATTGAAAATCCTGCTGAAAGCTACAAGTCAAAGATGAAAGAATATTTTGTTAATGAAACATGTATAATAGTTCATTTTTTTTAATGTCTGAAATTAAAACATCAATTCAGTACAATGTAGTACCCTTTTGTATGACCCCCTTAACCAACTAGAAGTGTTTATAAAAGTTTTTGTTGTCATTTGTAGTGGGACAATTCAGATAAAGACAGAAGAAGGAGATATTGTAGATATTATATAATTTTGTTGTTATTTTTAGTGGGACAATTCAAATAAAGACAGAAAAAGGAGATATTGTAGATATCATATAATTTTGTTGTTATTTTTAGTGGGACAATTCAGATAAAGACAGAAGAAGGAGATATTGTAGATATTATACCAGTGGAGGGACCAAGTACATCAGGAACAAACAATTCTAACAAAAACAACAATAAAGTGGTAGATCTGACAATAGATTCTGATGAAGAGGACGGACCTTCAGCACCAAAGATCTCTAGACTGGAAGATATTAAACCTGACATATCTAAAATAAAGATAGAACCTAAACAAGAACAGTCTAAAGCGGTAAATAATACTCAACATCAAAATACTCAGACAGATAATACAGAGGAAACTAAAACAAGACAAAGACTAAATAATTTACAGGTTAATGTTCATAAATTGTTGAAAATGATTGTTCCAGACGAAGATCTAGGTAAACCTGAAAATGTTGAGGATATTGTAACTGCTATGATTTTACATAACTCATGAACATGTATGGAACGTGCAATTGTCACAGTTAATTTTTTTGCCAGTGAAAAACTCAAAACAAATATGATTTTCTATTTATAGTTACAAATCATAGAAGTCATCTGCAGAAAAAAATGTAAATATGGGTTGTTCCAGAAAAGTTACTTGACGTTTAAGTTTCTGTGGATTGTTTGGTGGTGTACACATTTTAGAATTGTTCAAGAATTACTCTGGATGATGGAGGCTTACAAAAAAGTGCCTTCAAAGATCAGTATGAAGGTCATTTGCAAACAATTGCTTTGCATTTTATCTTCAAATATTACATAATTACCCGGTATGCAGTCAATGAACTAACTTGATAAAATCTGTAGTATTTATTTTTTAATTCAATTTTATTATTCTGGACTTAGTAATTAATATTAAAATATATATATATATATGAAAGCCAGTTTGCAAGAAAAAATTATAACATTTTACCTTGTATAAATCAATGGTCTTTTTTATGTCCCCCGCAACAAAGTTGTTTGGCCATACAGTTTTACCCTCATCTGTCATTCCGTCATTCCTTTATTCTGTTATTCCACAATGAGTAGTTGTAAGGATTTTTTTTCTAAAGGCCTTCACATATTGAGCTGAATTTAAGTATGTGAGTCTACTATGACGAGTTACAGATTGAGTTTACGTTTGGTTCTGCTCTTGCCAAAATTACGTGCTTTGGACTATGAAAATTATCGAAAATAGCAGTCATACAGACCTTTTTATACGACCGCAAAAAAATTTTGTGGTCGTATATTGGTATGACGTTGGCGTCGTCGTCGTCGTCGTCCGGCGTTGTCGTCCGAATACATATTGGTTTTCGCACTCTAACTTTAGTTTAAGTGAATGGATCTTTTTGAAATTTGACCATAAGGTTAAATACCACAAAAGGAAGGTTGGGATTGATTTTGGGGGTTATGGTACCAACAGTTAAGGAATAAGGGGCCAAAAAGGGGCCAAAAATGAGCATTTTCTAGTTTCCAGACAATAACTGTGGAACGGTGTATGGATCTCTCTGAAATTATACTACAAGTTTCCATACCACAAATTGATGGTTAGGATTTGCTTTGGGGGGTTATGGCTCAAACCGTTTAGGAATTAGGGGCAAAAAAGGGGGAAAAACAAGGTTGTCCTGGTTAATGGACAAATACTTTAGTACAAAACATAATTTAAAGCAGTGTAAGGGAGATAAATCAAATACATCATTGAAATTATCTCCCTTACACTGCTTTTAAATTATGTATAAAGTAATGGTTAATGAACAATAAAGATAATCTAAAACAGTGCAAGGGAGGTAATCCAAATACAACGTTTTGGTTACTTCCCTTACACTGCTTTTAAATTATGTTTAAAGAAATGCATATTTATAAAGGAAGACCAGTAAAAATATCTGCAAATGTTTTCATCTTTTTTTTTTACAAAAAAATCCATATGAAAGATTTGACACTATATTTTTATTAATTCTATTATAAAATAGATTAAGTTAGCACTATGGTAAATTTAAATGGGTAATTATGGTTGCCAACTCCATTGGAAATTTGAATTGAGATTATGACCATATCTTGAGGGAAAGAATTTTTTTGGGGGAAAAAGGGGGGGGGGGGGATAAAAAGAAATTGTGGGGGGCCAATTTTTTCTCATTTCACATTTCAGAAATTAAAAAGAATTATTCTTCAAATATTATTTTTTTTTCAAATTTCAAATATTGAAAAATTTCAAGAAGTAATCTTTAATTGCACAGTATGGCGCATTAGATTTGTAAAATCTTTGATCACATTTATTTATTTGTTATGCCGAATCTAACAGTGTATTTAGATTTTTAATTTTGGGTCCAGTTTTCAAATTGGTCTACATTAATGTCCAAAGGGTCCAAAATTAAACTTTGTTTGATTTTAGCAAAAATTGAATATATGAGGTTCTTTGATATGCTGAATCTAAACATGTATTTAGATTTTTGATTTTTGGCCCAGTTTTCAAGTTGGTCCAAATTGGGGTCCAAAATTAAACTTTGTTTGATTTCAACAAAAATTGAATATATGGGGTTCTTTGATATGCTGAATCTAACCATGTATTTAGATTTTTTATTTGTGGACCCCGTTATCTAATTGGTTCATATTGAGGTCAAAAGGGTCCAAAATTAAACTTTGTTTGATTTCATCTAAAATTGAATTATTGGGGTTCTTTGATATTCCAAATCTAACCGTGTATTTAGGTTTTTAATTTTGGGTCCTGTTTTTTAAATTGGTCTACATTGAGGTCCAAAGGGTCCAAATTAAACTTAGTTTGATTTTAACAAAAATTGAATTCTTGGGGTTCTTTGATTTGCTGAATCTAAACATGTGTTTAGATTTTTGATTATGGGCCCAGTTTTCAAGTTGGTCCAAGATAGGGTCCAGTATTTAAACTTTGTTTGATTTCAACAAAAATTGAATATATGGGGTTCTTTGATATGCTGAATCTAAACATGTATTTAGATTTTTGATTATGGGCCCAGTTTTCAAGTTGGTCCAAATTGGGGTCCAAAATTAAACTTTGTTTGATTTCAACAAAAATTGAATATATGAGGTTCTTTGATATGCTGAATCTAACCATGTATTTAGATTTTTTATTTGTAGGCCCCACTATCAAATTGGTTCATATTGAGGTCAAAAGGGTCCAAAATTAAACTTTGTTTGATTTCATCGAAAATTGAATTATTGGGGTTCTTTGATATGCCAAATCTAACCGTGTTTTTAGATTTTTAATTTGGGTCCCGTTTTTTAAATTGGTCTTCATTGAGGTCCAAAGGGTCCAAAATTAAACTTAGTTTGATTTTAACAAAAATTGAATTCTTGGGGTTCTTTGATATGCTGAATCTAAACATGTGTTTAGATTTTTGATTATGGGCCCAGTTTTCAAGTTGGTCCAAGTTGGGGTCCAAAATTAAACTTTGTTTGATTTTAACAAAAATTGAATATATGGGGTTCTTTGATATGCTGAATCTAACCATGTATTTTGATTTTGGACATTGGACCATAATAGGTAAATTAAAAAAATTCAAGTTCTTAGACCACATTCTTTCTGTGTCAGAAACCTATGCTGTGTCAAATATTTAATAACAATCCAAATTCTGAGCTGTATCAAGCTTGAATGATGTGTCCATACTAGCCCCAACTGTTCAGGGTTTGACCTCTGCGGTCGTATCAAGCTGCGCCCCAGCGAAGCATTTTATTTCAAAATGCCTTCACATATTGAGCTGATATTTAGTATGTGAGTCTACTATGATGAGTTACAGATCAGATTTCCTTTTGGTTCTGCTCTGCTGATTTTTACCAAATTAACGTGCTTTGGACTTTGAAAATTTGACGAAAATAGCAGTTATACGAACTTTTTTTCTAAAAATCTTCACATATCAAGCTTATTTTTAGTATGTAAGTTTACTATGATGAGTTACAGATCAAGTTTATGTTTGGTTCTGCTCTGCTGATTTTTGCAAATGAAAGTTTTGTGAAAACAACAGTTATACGGACTTTCATTCTCAAATTTCCACTCTTAAAATGGCTTCAAGCTTTTTTTGCGAACGTGGCCATTCATGTCATTCTGACACATCTAGTTTTATTTTCATGTCAGTAACCTAGAAAAAATGGAAAAATCTTTGACAACTAGATAGGCACATGTAAGTGAACGGAATTGATGACTGAATAATTAACATTCAATACTGTGGATTCATTATTATTCGTTGTATACCAACTTTCGTGGATTTCGTGGTTACCTGGGAACCACGAATTCCAATGTACAACGAATTACAATTTTTTTATAAGGATATATGTAGACTTTGGCAAAACCACGAAATCAAATATCCACGAAAATGTAAGTTTTCCTCTATCCACGAAAATTGGTACCCACGAAAATAAATGAATCCACAGTATGTAGTTCTGTAGATGGGATATAAAATTTTATTAAACCGGTATTGCATATACCATGATATATGCAGCATAAACTGTGAATTTAATGTTATATTTAAAGTATCTAAGAATATTAATTGATGCTGTGTTATAAAGAGGCCAGAATTATTCTCTGGAAATGTTTTGCACTATGTATGTTACGTTTGTTATGTTTTTATTTTTTATACGACCGCAAAAAAATTTTTGTGGTCGTATATTGGTATGACGTTGGCGTCGTCGTTGTCGTCTGGCGTCGTCCGAAGACGCATTGGTTTTCGAACTCTAACTTTAGTTTAAGTGAATGGATCTCTATGAAATTTTACCACAAGGTTCAATACCACAAAAGGAAGGTTGGGATTGATTTTGGGGGTTATGGTACCAGCAGTACAGGAATTAGGGGCCAAAAAGGGGCAAAAATAAGCATTTTTGTAATTTCCAGACATAACTTGTGTGTTAGTATATGGATCTCTCTGACATTGTACCACAAGGTTCCATATCACAAAAGGAATGCTGGGATTGATTTTGGGGGTAATTGCCTCAAAATTTTAGGAATTAGGGGCCAAAAAAGGGGCAAAAAACAAGCATTTTTTCTAGTTTCATGACAATAACTTGTGTGTAAGTGTATGGATCTTTCTGAAATTGTACTACAAGGTTCCATATCACAAAAGGAATGCTGGGATTGATTTTGGGGGTAATTGCCTCAAAATTTTAGGAATTAGGGGCCAAAAAAGGGGCAAAAAACAAGCATTTTTTCTAGTTTCATGACAATAACTTGTGTGTAAGTGTATGGATCTTTCTGAAATTGTACTACAAGGTTCCATATCACAAAGGGAAAGCTGGATTTGAGTTTGGGGGTAATTGCCCGAAACGTTTAGGAATTGGGGGCCAAAAATAAGCATTTTTCTAGTTTCCAGACAATAACTTGTGTTCAAGTGTATGGATCTCTCTGAAATTGTACTGCAAGGTACCATACCACAAAGGGAAGGCTTGGATTGATGATGGGGGTAATTGCCTCAATATTTTAGGAATTAGGGGCCAAAAAGGGGCAAAAAACACATTTTTCTAGTTTCCAGACAATAACTTGTGTTGACAAGTGTATGGATCTCTCTGAAATTGTACTGCAAGGTACCATACCACAAAGGGAAGGCTGGATTGAGTTTGGGGGTGATGAATCATAAGGGGGTTAAAAAAATTTGGGGGGGGATTTTTTTTTTTTCCTTTTTTTTCTTTTTTTCCTTTTTTTTTTCTTTTAAAATTTTCCATTTTAAGTTGGTTATTTCTGATTTATATTTAAAAGCAAATAATAATGATATGGTAGGAGATACACACCAAACAGGATGTGTAAATTATTATATAATAAGTATTGTGCAATAGCAAGAAATTTTCAATTGCACAGTATTGCACAATAGCAAGAAATCTTCAATTGCACAGTATTGCGCAATAGCAAGAAATCTTCTATTGCACAATAGCAAGAAATATCCAATAGCACAATATTGCGCAATAGCAAGAAATTGTCAATAGTACAGTATTGCGCAATAGCAAGAAATATTTAATTGCACAGTATTGTGCAAAAGAAGATACTTCGTATAAATTGCTTATTTCTTGACCAATTTCAATGGGATTTTATTCTTGAATTCTTGGGGTTCTTTAATATGCTGAATCTAACCGTGTATTTAGTTTTTGGATTTTGGGCCCCTTTTTAAATTGGTCCACATTGAGGTCCAAAGGGTCCAAAATTAAACTTTGTTTGATTTCATCAAAAATTGAATTATTGGGGTTCTTTGGTATGCCGAATCTAACCGTGTATTTAGATTCTTAATTTTTGGTTCCGTTTTCAAATTGGTCTACATTAAGGTCTAAAGGGTCCAAAATTAAACTTAGTTTGATTTTTACAAAAATTGAATTCTTAGGGTTCTTTGATATGCTGAATCTAAACATGTATTTAGATTTTTGATTATGGGCCCAGTTTTCAAGTTGGTCCAAATCGGAGTCCAAAATTTAACTTTGTTTGATTTCAACAAAAATTGAATATATGGGGTTCTTTGATATGCTGAATCTAACCATGTATTTAGATTTTTGATTTTTGGGCCCCGTTATCAACTTTGTCCACATTGAGGTCAAAAGGGTCCAAAATTAAACTTTGTTTGATTTCATCAAAAATTGAATTCTTGGGGTTCTTTGATATGCTGAATCTAACCATGTATTTAGATTTTGGATATTGGACCATAATAGGTGAATGTCCAATTTAAAATTTTTAAGTTCTTAGACCACATTCATTCTGTGTCAGAAATCTATGCTGTGTCAAATATTTAATCACAATCCAAATGCAAAGCTGTATCAAGCTTGAATGTTGTGTCCATACTTGCCCCAACTGTTCAGGGTTCGACCTCTGCGGTCGTATCAAGCTGCGCCCTGCGGAGCATTTTATTTTATCTTGTGTTAATGCTTTTGTTATTAACTGGTTTATTTCATTGCAACATGATTATTTCTTGTAGCATTTAGACACAAGTTAGCATGCTATAGTCCAAAGAATTTACCAGCAGTGCAATTTTATTTTCAAATCACATGAATTTTATTTAATTGATTTTAATTATTATAATTTTAAAGCTGGACAGAAATACTAGAATTAATACATATTAATATCTTGGGATGAAACAGTATTCTATACCTAACCCTAACATGGGTCAAAATTTGGTGAAACTGACCAGGTTTAAGATGTATTTAATAACACACATTTGCTTAGTTGACTGACAGGGGTACATTCAAATACACACCAAAGTTTGATCAAAACCGAATCAGAATACATGTTAAAACCATAGGTGAATGTGAGCTTTTTTGTCATTTTAAAATATGTTGCCATACAATAGAAAGTTATTACATGATAATTAGTAAATATTATCTCTGGTATAATATTAATTGCTCTCACAAGGATAATTAGTAAATAGTATCCCTGGTATAATATAAATTTGCTCCCACAAGGATAATTAGTAAATAGTATCCCTGGTAAAATATTAATTGCTCCCACAAGGATAATTAGTAAATAGTATTCCTGGTATAATATTAATTGCTCCCACAAGGATAATTAGTAAATAGTATCCCTGGTATAATATTAATTGCTCTCACAAGGATAATTAGTAAATAGTATCCCTGGTAAAATATTAATTGCTCCCACAAGGATAATTAGTAAATAGTATTCCTGGTATAATATTAATTGCTCCCACAAGGATAATTAGTAAATAGTATCCCTGGAAAAATATTAATTGCTCCCACAAGGATAATTAGTAAATAGTATCCCTGGTAAAATATTAATTGCTCCCACAAGGATAATTAGTAAATAGTATCGCTGGTATAAAATTAATTGCTCTCACAAGGATAATTAGTAAATAGTATCCCTGGTATAATATTAATTGCTCCCACAAGGATAATTATTAAATAGTATCCCTGGTAAAATATTAATTGCTCCCACAAGGATAATTAGTAAATAGTATCCCTGGTATAATATAAATTGCTCTCACGAGGATAATTAGTAAATAGTATCGCTGGTATAAAATTAATTGCTCTCACGAGGATAATTAGTAAATAGTATCGCTGGTATAAAATTAATTGCTCCCACAAGGATAATTAGTAAATAGTATCCCTGGTATAATATTAATTGCTATCACAAGGATAATTAGTAAATAGTATCGCTGGTATAAAATTAATTGCTCCCACAAGGATAATTAGTAAATAGTATCCCTGGTATAATATTAATTGCTCCCACAAGGATAATTAGTAAATAGTATCGCTGGTATAATATTAATTGCTCCCACAAGGATAATTAGTAAATAGTATCCCTGGTATAATATTAATTGCTCTCCTAAGCTCATGCATTATAATATTCTAATTGTTCATAAATATTGTAATTGGGACAATTCACGTCCAACAACCTTATATTCTCGATACATTTATATGAAAGTTCACATTTGTCCTGCTAATGTGGATAAATAAGCAGCAATATCTTTTTTATAATTTAGTTCTGTTTTTTTTAGTTCATGAAGTGGAGTGAATGTATTGTTTGTTGATTTTGGGAGAAAGACATCATACCTATGCCAAAATGTTTGAATGGAAGTAGTGAATGAATTTAATATGATTTTATTGACCAGAAAGTTCACAAAATATTTATGAACAAATTTTCTTTAAAGTCCCATATGAGCAAAATGCTTTGCAAATTAACATATAATCCTTTTATTAAGTTTCATTTCATTCCATTGTATAGGTTGTGATATGAATCTCAGGGAATACATTATAATATTTCATTTTGTGTTAGAGCATAATATCAGATCATATTTTATACAAGTTGTTTAAGAAACTTTCTTTTATTTAATAACAATCAAATTTTATGTTTGCAGATTAGTAGCATAATGATTTTCGGAAATCAAAATAGGAATATTTCTTTATAAAGGTACATACCTATGACTAATTTATAAAGTAGAGTCCTGTAATTTTTTTTGAATTTCGAATTCTAGTTTCATATTTTCTCATAAAGACTGCAACATTTTCTGTAGATTTAATCAGGGGATTAATAATTTTCATCAGGACGACTTATAAATATTACCTGGTTTATATACTTGCACTTAACCTTGATATCATTTTCATGGATGACTGAATTATTTATACTGTGTTGCATTTTTTAGTGACTATAAGGGAATTTGATATGTGCCATGTATTGTTTTTTATGCCCCCACCGTAGCAGAGGGGCCATTAAGTTTTACCCTTGTCCGTCTGTACGTCCGTCCGTACGTCCCAAAATTGGTTTCCGTTCTCTATCTTTAGTTTGCCTCAACCAAATGTTATGAAACGTATACACAAGGCTTATTAACACAAAACACAGGTCAAGTTTGAATTTGGGTGGGGTCACTTT